TTCGCAAGCAACGACTTTGAGTGTGCTTCTTCTCGTGGGTCAGGCGGTAAGGCCCAACGCGGTCGAGGCCGAGTTCGACTCCAAAGGGGGTCCCGACGCAACGTCCGATCGTTCCTATCCTTTTTTAAGAGGCCTACCCAAGGAGTCGTTGGCGGCTCGCCGAACTCGAGCCGACATTCCGTGTCACTCGTCTTGCGCCACCTGTTGTCTTGAGCAACAAACAGGCCTGCCTAGACAGACCCAGCTCCTCATATCTCGTTTCTCGAACCGGCCAATCCGGCCACCAGATGTTTAGGTTTTAGGGTCTTGTCTGTTCTCCAAAGATACAGGCTCTTCTTCCCAAAGCCCCGCCACAAATACAACCTTCTCTCGGGTGCCTATGGCAATTACTACCCCAATCCATGCATCGGCTGCTCCGTGGCATTGGCTGGCCTGGACTCGACGTTTCTCTGCTCGTGCAACACATCCTGATATGCAGCCCTCTTCGCCCACTGGCGACTGCTCCTTGGTTACCTGCTCCACAACCAAATCAGCCCATGCGTGCACATTTCATTGCCTTGGATGCCGGTTTGAGCTTTCCGGCTAGATGTCAGTCCGCCTCCAACGGAGCGGGACACCATCTTGGCAGAGACGATCTGCTTTGATGACTCGAAGGGTCTGCATAGTGGTCTCGGGTCAGAAGTTCCAATTGGGGTTACATCTTCTCCAACGGACCTAGGCTGCTCTATGTCTCTGTTGCCGTCATTGAAAAGCAGGACGTATTCCGATGTTGAGCGTGTGGCTTGGTGTGGGCTTGACGGCTGACTGCATATTCGATCTGATCAGTTTCCATGGTTTTGGGCCCTACGATCCATCTCTTCTCGAGCTCACGTCGGCATCGGCATCGGCAACCTCACTGTAGCTCTGTGCTGGCAGATGAAGAAATCGTGGCCGGCGTCGGGAGTCTTTCAACCCGTTACTTTTGCGGTGCGATCTTCCCAGGTCTCCGTTTCTTCAGCCTACCTTCCATGTCGCGTTACTTTGGCATTATGTGCAACGAGGCATCTGCATTCCATCTCCGCTGTCCACAGAATGTTGGCGTCTAGCCTAACGTAACGGTTTATCGGAGGCAGTGGTCTTCCACTTGACACGGGACGTCATCTCTGGAAGCGACGAGTCCGGTGAAGATCCCAAGCAATATGTTGCACAGGTGGGAAATCATTGACTTGCAAAATACGTCAAGTTTCGCAAGCTCGCTGACTTCATCTGGTCACGTCAGCATCACTGTCTCAACAGCATATGCGGCGGAGCCCGAAATGTTTGACCGCGATATCCAAGTGTCTTTCCTAACCAGTCCGCTCAACGCCGGCCTCGCATATTTTACGTGGTATCAACTCGACGAACAAGCCCGAGGCCATGCGCCGCCTGCATCAAAGTCGTCAGATCATGTAGCCATCGTCCTTTCATCACTCGCCACATAGAGAGCACACACGCATGAAGAAAGTGGTCGTACTCTGTCACTCCGATATCGTTAGTGGCCCGTGGTCCTCACGCCTGAGGGGAAAATACAGATGTTCGCATGGTGAGTATGTAGGATTAACTGAGTTGGTGAAAAGTTCTACCTACGTGCCACGGGATACGGCGTGTGGAATTGCATGGGTCATTTAACCCGCATATACCATGATATCAAATCTCTCACTATATTCCGGCGACGTCACGGAGGTGATATCACCAAACGACCATATGACGCCGTCTCTAAAACTCCAGGTTCACTGCCTCATAAAGCACCTGGTCGCCGCCAACTCACCCCAGAAGTACAGGGCTTCAACTTCATACAGTACACGACAGCAACGCAAAATCAGAAGACAGAATGATCTTGTAGAAGTGAGTTGCTCCACGCCAACAGAGCTCAATAAGTGGTGCATCAATCGAGTCGTCCCGAGACTTGTTTGTATTTAATTTGAGCAGCCGTTGGGTCGCCGCTGCGAACAGGAGCTTACCCCGAACTCAGACAACAGGCCGAATGCGGCCAGACCGGCAAAAGAGGGTATATCAATAATCCAGGGTGCCTATAACAGTACGCTATGGTCTTATTTCGACCGGCTTTTCGGAACCCTGCCACCATCATTCGTTCACAGCCTGCATACCACATCGTCACGTCCCATGTTACACCGCAGGCACTGCCATGGCCTTGAGATGAAGCTACGCAGGCCAACAGGGGGGCAGCCTGCTTGCTTAACCTTGGCCCGACATCTATAAACGGCTGGAACGCATTATCAGGATGTCACATTTGTAAAAGATGTATAGCATGGACATGGCATGGTCGGTAAGACAGCCGAATGCACCATTGCCTACGTGCAATTGTAGGTAGGTATGGTTCCTATCCGAGGCTCCGCGCTCAACGCCTTCCCTATCCGTCTCTGTGCACCGACTGCATTGCAGCCTTGCAAGGATCAAGGTTCGTAAAGGAATCGGCGTATTGCCACCCACGAGTTAGATCTCGCCCGGCCAGACGAGTCTCATGTTCGTGCGCCCGTTGTTGGGAGTGATTTGGCAAATCCAGTCTTTATCCGATGGGGGGGCCTTTAGCCGCCCTCCGCTTATAGAGCAAGAAGTGACCAAGCTGAATATCGATGGAGGGGCGGGCGGTGACTTGAGACCGTGATAGATGCTCCGAGGGAGCGGTTGTGTGTGAGCACCGTCTTCCGACGACCTTCTTCCATACGAACAGGGCAACTCCATGGCGCACGCAGGAGTCATCCTTCTAGATCCGAGAGGCGATGCGAGTCGGATGTGTGGCCTGGTCATACACCAGAGCTCTTGGTACTTTTGTCTGCCCAGGGTCACCCGTCCTAGAGACGGCTCCTCTGGCTGGGTCTCCAATTCGCATAGGGGTGCTCTTCCTTTCCAGGAATAAGGTGATCAACGGCCGCGGTGTTGAGGAAACCGGGGTGGACCTGGTCCAGGCTGGTCACCCCACACATCTTCATCGTCGTCTCGAGCTCATCGCGCAGGACTATTCAACGTCAGAGACTATTCTCGCCGCCCTGTTTGAAGAAGCAAAGGGGGGGGGCAATGAAGGGTGGAACTCACTATCAATATACCGCTCGACGCCCTCGGTGCCATAGTTGAGGGCGTAGAGCAGTCCCCTGCCGACGGCGACGGCCCTGGCGCCCAGGCAGAGAGCCTTGAAAATGTCGGTGCCGCGCGTGACGCCGCCGTCGACGTAGACCTCCATCTTGTCAAAGACGTCGGGGCAGTTCTTCTGCAACTCGAGCAGGACCAGGATGGTGGCGGGGCTCGTGTCGAGGCTGCGGCCGCCGTGGTTGGAGACAATGATGGCCTCGACGCCGTGCTCGGCGGCGCGCACGGCGTCCATCCAGGTCTGGATGCCCTTGAGCACAATGGGCAGCCCCCGGCACGGTGCGGCGCAGCCCAGCAATGTCGTCCCAGCAGACGTTGGCGTCAATGTAGCTGCCCATTTTCGAGCTTGAAATCAGCGGGCGTCGTTCTTGGCGGCGGCGCCCGAGATGGGCGAGGCCAGCGACTCGTCGGAGCGGACGCGCTCGTCTGCCTCGCGCTTGCCGGGCAGGGGCGCGTCGACGGTCAGGACGAGGGCCTTGACGCCGCGAGCCTGAGCGTCGCGCAGGAGGCGCTCCGAGTTGGCGCGGTTCTTGTCGACGTAGAGCTGGAAGAAGACGGGCACGTCGTAGGGCGTGGCGACGTCGTGGGTGGCGTGGGCGGCGAGTATGTCGGCGAGGGAGAAGCTGGCGCTGACGGAAACGGTCTGGGGCATGCCCGAGGCCTTGAGGGCGCGGCCGAGGGCCTTCTCCCCGTCGGGGTGGACGAGCTTGGCCATGGCCGTCGGCGGCGCGAAGAGGGGCAGACGGGCGGCGTGCGAGAGCATGGTCGTGCTCGTGTCGACCGTGGCGACCTGGCGAAGGACGCGGGGGCGCAGAGTGATGGAGGCGTAGGCCTCGGCGTTGCGACGCTTGGTGTGAAGGTCGGTGGCGGCCGACGAGACGAAGGCCCAGGCTTTGGGGGAGAAGGTGGTTGAGGCCACGGCCTCGAAGTCATGTGCGCTGATGAGGGTATCCAGGGGTGGTTTGGTCTGAGAGGTGGCCGGCGCAGGGATTGCGGTTCCGGTGGTTGTCGGGGCTTCGGGGCTCGGCCGGGACTCGGTTGAGCCGGTGGGTGATGACGCTGGTGACATTGTTAGGGGAGGATGATGGCTATACTGAGATTAGGTGCCGTGAGCGATGACGAGAGTCAGCGGGTTCAGATCAGTTGGGCCGTGCAGAGAGCAACGTGAGCATGCCAGGTACTCATCGATCAGGAGAAGAAATCATGTTAGTTCATTGATGAGAAGACGTCTGCAACGTTCAACACGAGAAGAGGCGACCTCGGGTGGATGCTCGCACGATCGGAGGGGAATGAACGTGGAGGAGGCGATCCGGGGGCGGTGGATTCGGTGGGGGAAGCGGCCAAGCGGCAGCGGCAGCGCTCGGTGAAGCTCATGCCGAGTGGCGCAGTGGCTGCTTTGCTGCATGTGGCTAGTGGACAAGCCTCCCAGGCAAGGTACCTCTCTACCTTCCCTTAGGTACCCACCTTGCCTTAGGTACCTACCTTGCCTCAGGTACCTACCTTACCTTACCTAGGTAAATTCCCTGAACGATATTCCAGGCGACACGGTAACTGACTTCTGAGATTTATTGATGCCGTGGATTTTTTTCTTTTGGAATTGATTCTGTGGAAACCCCGGCCGTGCCGCTCACCCAGCCAAGGCCTTGGTGATCAAGGCCGTAGCCCTCTCGCTGAGATCCATCTTCAACGCCAGCGCCCGGCCCGGCTCGCTCATCTTGGCCCACGTCTTCTGCAGGATGCCGATAATCTTGGGCTCGTCAATCTCCTCCTTGCTCTCAAAGCCGTCGAACTGGTCGTCGAGGAACACGAGACAGGCGACGTCCTCGAGCACCTGCGTCTCCTCGTCGGCCGCGAGGTTCTCCTTCCTGATGAGCGCCGCGACGCGCGCCACGTCGGCCGGCGGCACGTCCGTCTCGGCCGTCAGCAGCGCCGCCACCTGCGCCGCCGCCTGCGACTTGAGCTTGGCCCGCCACGTGAGGTAGCCCGGCCGCGTCATCGGGTACGCCGACCGCGGGATCTCCCAGCGCCGAAAGTGCTGCGCGCGGCACGCCAGCTGCAGCGCCGGGCCGGCCGCGGGGTGCCGCGCCGCGAGCCACCGCGTCATCTTGCGCGCGTAGTGCAGTTCGTAGGGGATCGGCGGCGTCGTCTCCGAGGCTTTGGGGTCGCCGGCGTGGGCTTCGTCGATGAGGTCGAGGCCCTTTTGGTAGGCTGCGGAGAGGGGAGGGAGTGTCGCCATTTTGTGGTCTCTCTCTGTCTCTCTCTCTCTCTCTCTGTCTCTCTGGCTTTTGCGTGTCTGGCTTGCTGAGCCTTGGCGCCGAGGATAACAGACAGGTTGGTAGCCTGGTGAGGGGCCTTAGGGTAGGTGTTCAAGATAGGCCAAGATGGGTGGTATCGCTGGACTAAACAGAGCGAGATTAAAAGACATGGCGTTGCCGTGAGGTCAAGTTGTGGATGAGTCAGCGGATCTAGAGGATGGGCGATTGGCTCGAGGACGACGACGACCCCCTTTCACTTCCCTTCACAGCAATGCCTCACTTGGGAAGCTTCAGCATTGCGGGGAGAGTTTGTAAGCCTCTCGGCGTTGAGGCAGCTCCGATTTTGGGGTCTTCATCGCGACATATAAAGTGAGGGCTAGCGTAGCCGGTTCATACGTGCAGTTGAGCGCTTCGCAAATGTCGCTACAAGGTACCTTAGGTAGGTAGCACAGGAGTGCTGGCAAACACTCCACGGGCTGGCGTGACACTAGTCGTGACATGGTCCACGGTGCATCTATTCCTGTTTGCCTGGTGCATCCACCTGGAGGGAGTTGTCGTGGCTGGAGTAGCAGAGTTTGCTGTTGGACACAAGGAATATCCAGCCATGGAGCACAGTCGTGCTCTGAGCGACCTGGAAGAACAACAACGGCAAGAGCTCAGCCACGGAAAGTGGACATTAAAACAAGCTCTAACATATTTTTACCATTCAGTCTATTGTAGGCAGTGACTCTATCCAATACTGGTCGGCAGCCCCTCGATAGTGAAGTCGCCGCACACCAAAGGGGCAACCGCATTGTCAACATCGTACGCATTCATACGTTACCTTTGCGACCTGGAGATCGCTTCCCCCGCCCAAGGTAACTCAAGGACGAGCGTTTTTGGGTGGGTTTCTGCCCATGGTAAACGAACCGATCTTTCGACGTTACAACCCTTGACCCACCTCACATCACAGCACACCAGCTGGCCTTGATCTCAGACATTCAGAATGGGCAGGACCAAAGGCGGAAAGCACGCAAGCAAAGTCTCTGAGCAGGTCCCGCCAGATGAAGAAGTACGCATCTCAGCAGCAAACCTCCTCCTCGGTCTGGACCCCTTCGTCCTGAAACACAAGCACAAGAACAAGTCCACAAAGACCCCGGTTCAAGACGACGACAAGCCAACGTCGGCAACAACGCCAACAGCAGACCTCAGCACCGAAAGCTCTGGAGGTTCTTCCACCACCGAAGAGGCATCGAGCGATGATCAGTCGAGTCCCTCAAAGGCGAGCACGGACGCTGAGACGCCCGCTGAAGCCCAATCGGTCGAGGCCGACGACTCGTCCAGTGCCCCTGAGACCAGCGACGCGGAGTCCAGCGCCGGAGAGGCTGCTCAGGCTATCGTGGACGAAAAGAGCGAAAAGAGCGTGAGTTTCGCGGAGGACAAAAGTCAGACAGATGAGTCGACTCAGACGTCCTCCATTGACGCCATGACGACCGATTCCGAGAACGATCTCGCCAAGCCAATGCCGTCAACCGCTCCGACCGACAAGTGGACTGCGTCGGACGATGCCATGATCATAGGCATGAAGGAGGACGGTGCTACATGGGCCGTCATTGGCAACGCCATCAGCCGGGGAAAGAACGAAGTGAAGAAGCGATATCATGAGATAAAGGTCGTCACGGCGAACGCAGCATCAACACCAACTAATAAGCAGGCGAGTGTGGACACCACCGAGCCAGAAAAGCCACAGAAAGCGAAACCATCCAAAGACACCGAGCACGATGAGTTCAAGGACAAAGCCGAGAAGACGTGTGACGATGAAAAGTCCAACACCAAAGCCCACACCAAGAGAAGGACCCAGTCCTCGTCCAAAAGCCCCCCCTCGACGACCCCCACGTCCCTCTCTGCCATGGAAGCCGCGCTCCTCGCTTCCCCGCCCTCGTCCACCACCTCTTCCTCCTCCGACGGTGACGAAGCCGGCTACGACGCCGATGGCTTCGACCCTTACTCCCCTGACCCGCGCCCCGATCCCTTCGCCCACGAGCGCGAGCGCCGCCGCCAGGACCGCTTCATGCAACGCCATCTCTGGGCAGCCCTCTACCCGCGCCACCGCACCGCCCAAGACCACCAAGACAAATATGCCGGCGCCACCGGCTTCGCGGACCGAGGCTTCTCGCGCCGCGACCGCCGCCTGCTCGCCTCGCTCGAGGACCGCCGCCTCGGCAACCGCTGGCTCGAGATGCAGGCCAACTTCTTCAACGCCACGGGACGCATGCTGCCGCTGCACCTCATCAAGGCCAAGCTCGAAGGGCAGGGTGCCGCTGACGAGGAGCAGAGGCTGCCGCGCGTCGCGAGGTTCGAGCAGATGGTCGCCAGCTGGAACAGCAGCGTCGCCGATAGCGAGGAGCTGCTCGATCCGGCTCTGGCTGGGGAGGTGCCGGAGGATGCGATGACGTGAAAAGCACAACACGAGGGGGATCTGGAGTTGGCCGGCTTGTGGGGTGGTTTCCTGGAGATTTCATTCTTGTCCTGTTGGGGTTTTCACGGATCCGGAGGTGTTTTTGCCCATGGCCTTTGGAATACTATTCCCGTCACGAATAGACATGAGCTGGTGGCCTGGAGAGAGTCAAATTCCAAGACGAACGATAATTTCCAGACGCAGCGAGGTGGCCACGAAAAAAATCCCGTCTATTTCCTGTGCTGTTCTTCATGCATACTATGCTCCCTCCCTCTATTTGTAGCTCTTTGACCTGCTACCGCCAAAGCTCTGCCAGAAAATCCTGCTTCATCGACATCTTGACCTCTTCGATGGATACTTGTCAGGGAACCAAGTATGGCATTCGTCGCAAGGCTCGTCGAGTCGGATCGTCTGCCATATCTGACGGTGTCCGCATGGCTTTTGGATCAGACTAGCCGGGTGACAGAAGCGGGCGAATGTAAAGGTAAGGTGCTTGCAGACGAATGCATGAGCGTAGTACTGGCACATGATATCTGTCTTCCCCTTGCTGCTCGGCGGATAGAATATGCTGTGATGTTGCTGCTGCTGGTGACGGTCAGAGTGATGGCTACAATATGCTCGTTTGTCCATGTTATAGAGTCTAAGCTGACCAGATTGCGCGGCTGTCGTGCTCGCACGTAGGTTGAATTCTGGGCACAGAGTGACCTGATTTTCTCAGAGGCCGAGTTCAGCCTTGATAAAAACGACGTGGCCGATGGTGTTGAATTCGAGGCCTGAGTCTGTGTCAAGACGGAGCAAGTGCTCAGGGCAAAAAATAGCGGAAATAAAAGAGCAACGTCAACAATGGTTCTACTATTCACAAGATGACGCTGACAGCGTGGATTTTATCTTGAACATAGTTACACAAGCATCTTCAACGAGCATAGCCATTCTGACTAGAATGTTGACGAAGCTGCTGCCTCCCCTTGAACAGCCGATAAAGGTTGGCAAACAGCGACGACGTGTAGTGAGTGAATCGACTGAACGAAAGCTTCGGGCACCGAAATGTGACCACATATGGGAAGGCGAGTTGTTTGGAAAGCTGTAGGCAGCCTCGTCTTCAAGTGTCAAGCCGACTTGCCTGAAGTATCTCGAGTCCAATAGAAAACAAAATTCCACCTAACGGTGGCCGTCAGCACCCCTGTTGCCGTTTGAGCCCCATGTTTGCTCTCGCCTTGCGGCAGCAAACAGTCTCGAAAAGCAGGGCTGCGATTGAGTGTTCAGAGATGCTTCGCCCCAACACATCTGTCAACTGGAAACAAAACCCAAGACATCTGGAAGAGACAAGTCAGCTACGTGGCAGCCTCTCGCCTTGTGAGCCTAAGATGGTGGCTCCAAATGGACAGTCATCCGTTGCACTGGCCGCAGACAAATGCTGGCTCTGTTGGGGAACGAGAGGGGTCTGTTCAAAGTCCCATCACGTCAGGTGACTGCCTTGGTCGGATCATCAGGGTGACATTAACGAGGCATCGGAAGATGTTGTGTCAGGCGTCAGACTCGGATCGGGGTTCATGATGTTGGCAATCGACGGCAGTTTGTGTGCTGCCGCAACAGATGGATGGCTAGATCGGTTGTGTGTCGGGCAACCCATGCCATCGGCAAGAAAGTGAAGGGGCGGCCACGTCTGAGACAACAAGCAGCACTGGGGTGGGTGCGGCGACCCGAGACCTGCGTCCCAGTAGGCCCCTGAGGTTATGCCTGACCCCGTGGTTGAAGGCACTTTCAAGCGACGCTGTAGTTGGCGTCTGGAATGGTATGGCCTGGCGTGGTCTCGCAGACGCGTGGGAGAGGGGCACGGTGCATGACGCATGGCGCACGGCTGTCGTGCGTTCTGCCTTGCATGCTGGGGCTCAGGGACTCCGAACAAGTGAGATCAGGTAGTTTCGTCCCATCATTTGGAACGGACAGAGGTCATCCCTCACCGCCTGTTGGCTTCGACTTGGCCCAATGCTCCCACTATACACGCGCTGCTACGTCAGGAGTGGTAAGCAGAGGCAACAGAATCGGAGGAGCGACCACGGGGTGGCCGCATATGTGGCGGCCAAGTGCCGGACTGTTGTCAGGCCAAAGTCAAGGCATAGATGTAGAAGTGAATTGGGCCGTGGTCATGATGGTCCTTGGGCAACATCAGTTGATCGGGCACCACGGCTGGAAAGCGGAAGATGCGAAGTAGACCCAAGACTGTTGGTTGACTGAAGCCTCTGAGGCCAATTATTCGGCTGAAGCTAAAACAGCTGAAGCCAAAACAGCTGAAGTTGGAGACGAGGCGGTTCCTTTCGTCCAGTGCTGGCTTAGATGCGCTGGCAGGTTTGGTCAAGGCCAAGTTGGGTGTAGGTGATGTCGAAGTGAGGTGAAGCTGATGGTTGTCATGGCCATGTTGATTTCAAGTGGAGTACAGTAGGTAAGGTACAAGTACATGCTTACCTTGCTTGAACTACCTAGACCATGCTACCCACCTTGGCAGAGGAAGGGTCCTTCTTGCCCGTGTCTTGGGAAAAGAGGTGGCTGGGGAAGTCGATGCTGGTGGGAGTGGGGTCGGCCAGGTCGGTCCTCCCTTCCCCTGCCCATCGAAACCTGTAGCGCGTCACTTTCGTGTGTGGTCAGGCGCGTCGAGTCAAGCGACGAGAAGGGCAAGGAGCACCAGTACCGACTGCCATTGCACTGTTCCTGGTCATAAACGCATGTTTCCAGAGATCCAGATCATGTACACCATCGATACCTAGGGTAGGCACCCAGGTAGGCCGCCTGGCGTGTGTTCTTTCGGTACCTACCTAGGTACCTAAGATACCTACCTACCTACCTACTATGGTACCTGCCCCGTTGAAGAGCGGCATCCCGAGGCGAGTTTCTCGAGCACACAACCTTCTCAACAAGGCATCCTCCGGCGACCATACCATGACATGCTGAGGCCCTTGTCCTGGGTCTTCCTACGGTCCATCTGGATGTTTCAAGACACAAGACCAAGACGCACACGAATCCACAGAGGCTGCAGGCCATGAGCTGGAGGTCGCACGGGTTTTGCCGTTGAACGACGCCGGTCGAGAACCAGGGCAAGCCCAGTGTCACCTTGTGCTGCAGTCCGAGGCACCTCATTCATAACCAAACGTCCCTTTGCCCATTATTCCTCATCGATCCTTGCCCATGGCACTTGGTCCTGCTCGAGGAGTCTCGCGAACCAAGACCACCGTATGTCACCAGCTTCGCCCTAGCAGAAGCAACGGCAAGACTTTCGCCGCAAAACCGGTCTGGCTCGATTGGGCGCTGGAGCTGGAACACGGCGCAGGTACCAAACAACCACCACACGCACTGCCAGGCGAGACCAGTGCGCAATCAGTCCCTCCATGGCGGCGGCAGCATCGTCTCATTCATATACGTTGCTTGTTAGCCTTTCAAGACACCGTGATGTATAGCTGTGGCTATCACGGCTCCAATGGTTGATCTAACTACAACAGCATGTCCCGCCTCGGTACCATGTACACCTCTTGTCAGCCGGCCGTCTCCTTCAATCTCCTTTCACGGGACGACATGATACCCACAAAGCTAAACCCAGGCCAGCGTCAGGATGGACCCTTGACCTTGGATGGTTCGCTCCTCCAGCAGCAGTTCGGCACGGGTTCAAACGACCACAGGCCAGAGCCACCCCTGAACCCCCAATGGACCTGGACCCGGACCAGGTTCAGACCCCGGCTGATGCTTCAATTTAGCGCGTCGTTTCGTTCGGCCGGCCATTCAGCCTGCTGATTGCCGACCATATTCTTGTGCTGCTCACCCTCGTCCTGGAGCTCTCTCGAGCTGCTTCCCCGTCCACAGAACTCTCTCACGAACGAAACAGGACCCTCAACTCTTCTTGGAGAAAGCAACCGTCCATCCCCAGCCACCCCATACTCGTTGACCCGCTGGCGCATCTTAGCGCCAGTAGCTTCTCATCCTGAACCTCCCCCTCGGTTCACCGAAGACGTCGCTGACGCCGCGGCCGGCGTCGACGCCAACGCTCATTCGACGCGCGCGGGTGCGAGCTTGTTGATTTGCGGACGCACCTGGACGTGGAACCCAACGGCCAGCTCATCGTGCAGCGAAGCTCCGCATCGCCAGCCCATCATCGCTCTCGAACTTTTCCCTCTCGCGCTGCCTTGCACGCCTGGCCTTTGCTCTGCCTCTCTGGTGGTTCGTTCGTGGTACCACGGCACAGCGCCCACTTCCTTCTCTGCCGTCATCGCCCAGGAGAAAACGGTAGACGGCGCAAACCCAGCTTTTGTTGACCAGCATGGCGATGCGTCTCTGACCACTACGCCAAGGTCCACACTCGTTCATGCACAGTATTGCTACGCCCGGTGCTGCTGCTACTGCTGATACGTACCCTGCGTTCGTCTCTGCATAGACCTGCACGTCTCCTTTAGCATACATATACCTACAGGCTACGGCTACTTTAATCTTCCAGGCTTTTGCACTCGCTCTGCTGCTGCTGGTTCTGCCACGCCTGCTCTGAATTGCTTTCTTCCCTTTTATTTATTTTCCCAGTCAGCCCTACCCTGTCCAATCTCGCATGGACATGGCCTGTAGGTAGCCAAAGAACTCCGGCACCGCAATATTTCAGAGCACACCAGTCTCTGCCTCGACCCTTTTCCCCAGGCCTAGCATCGGTCAGATATCGGTCTCCACTGCCATCGTCTGGCGACTATCAACTGCCAGCCTCCGAGCCACGACCTCATTCTGGACCGGGCTTCCCAGCGAAATCCGCCCCTCACCGCCTCAACCTTGCTCCGGTTGCCTCTGCCCACACTCGTTTTGGCCCTCCTCAGGGATTGCCCCCGTAATCAGCCAATCTTTCCACCATCCAAGCTGCGGATCTCCCGTTTATAAGGGCGACTTTGGTAACGGTTCCCTGGCCAAGCGACACGTCGTTGTGCCTTCTACGAACGGACGCCTATCAGTCGTATTCGCCTTGCGGTCGGAAGCTTTGAGTCTACAGCATCGGACACTCACTTGATTGCTGCGACGAAGACTGCCACAGAGGCTTGCTCCTTCTCTTGTCGCTGCATCCTCTGGCGTTGAGACGGACTCACGGCACTGGCCGGTCTGCCCAACTGATCCTGCCCTACTTTGGCAGTCAGTTTGATGCACATTGGTCCGTCCTCCTCCAATAACCAACCACCAACCACTTCCGTCTCAAACCACCACCGACCACTCAGACAACAGATGCACCTGTAGTGTACTGTTTTGACATCTGGAACATCGGGAAGTTTTTGTCTCAACTCAAGCAAGACGCTTAGCGAAAGTACAGTGACAGCCTTGGCGATTTATCTCACCTTACCACTTCACGCCTGTTCTCATGCATCCCGTCTGCCACGAACGACCTCATTCTCACCTCACGCCCCTCTTCTCATCATTCTCTTTGGCACTTTTGCCCTGGGACCACTCGTTATACCCAAGCAACACAGCTGCCAGAAAATCCTCAGGCAACGAAATACATACCTTTCGACAAGCAGAGCAAACCGCCAATAGCAGAACAGTCCCGGGGAATCAATTTGGACACCATTTGTATTCGCCCTGACATCACCTGACATATCCACTCGCCCAACTGCCAAGTGGATAGTGTCAAGCACCGAGTCTCTGGGAACTGTTGTGCTCAGTCTGCACCGCCGCCTTGGTTGACCGCCGCCTTGATGGCGTCGTCGCTCGTGGATCAGAAGTTTCTCGGCCGTCTGGCCAGGACGGTCGAAGCAGACAATCCCTTGCTGTCATCCATGCTGCTCAAACTCCTCGGATTGTCCCTCAGCCTCGCAGAACAGTTGGTTACAGCCAAGAAACAGCGCCGCCCAGATCCCGCCAGAAGCCCGAAGTCTTTGGAGCTCATTCTTCATATCATATGGCTTTCACGAGAGGGCCTGGTCATGCTTCAGCAGTATGTCATACCCATGGTAGGGAATCATACCGAGTTGAAGGTGCTCGCGTACAAACTCCAAGCATCTTTCTATTACATCTTTGTGTTGTTCCACAACAACCCTCCGGTTTCGACGATCGGCATTTCGACACCTGACCCGGCGACCAGCGCAGTACTGCCAGGAACGACACCACCCAGATCCGATAAGGGCAAGGGCCTCGCCATGGAAGGTGACTGGAACACTTCGCAAAACTCCATACAACCCACACATCCTCTTGAAGGAGGGCCAGTCCATCCTCCGCCGGGCTTCGCCCCTCAACACAATGTTGTCGATCTTCCCGCTCGATTTCTGAAGGAGCCTAAAAACTTTCTTCCCGAGGCCCATCAGTACTTCCAACAAGCAATCGGTCTGGCAGACACGTATCTTTGGGGTTCCCATTCATTACGCCTGTCCGTCAAGACAGAATACGCTGCATTCCTATGGGACTGCTTGCACGATGGCGAAGGTAGCCGCAAGGTCGCCAAGGACGCTATAGCCGAGGTGTATGAAGCCTCGGAAGGCATGGACGACGACATGTTCACGGACGCTTGCGAACTCGTCACCGTTCTTGGGAGGATGATGAAGCGAGGGTTGGGCACAAACAACATGGGTTCCACCAACACCTTGAGAAGTCAGCGCGATACCGCCAGCCCAGCCCAGCCGTTGTATGCGCAGGCTCCTGCCGCTGTGCCGCCCCCGGGGATGGAGAACCCCATCTGAGCACACCACACCAATGGAAGGATAAGCTCGCGAAGCGTCGGCTCCTCCATTGATGATAGTCTACCATTGTCCGGTTCAGAAGAAGAACATGACCAAACAAGCTTCCCAGCGCCTGTCGCACACCGCGACACATCTTGACTGTACATCACTAAATCCAGTACATACATACCAACTTTAATACCAACACCACCCGGACTCAGCAACAGGGACTTGGTCCTCGGCATCACAGGGCGCACAGGGTTCATTGACTTAGCTGCATAGCGAGCCGTGCTTGTATTTGGTTGAATGGGATTCTGTAACTATATGTATATTGAACATATCTAAGCTGTCAAAGCTGTCTTTGTCCCATTGCTTGCTTAACCCTGCTTGCTAATCGTGTGATGTGTCCCGCTTCTTGCGTGTCAGGTGCCGGCCTTACTATGTTTCGTAGAGCATAGTCACCACACGGGCGCTATTTCTCAACCCCTTTCCCGGCCCAACGCACTGCGATACTCTCTGAATGGGTTTTATCATGCGTACCTATACGGATGTTGCCGGCTTGGGTAGTGTTCTGCCCACGCATTTCCTCAGCTATTATACTGCGAGGTCTCTCAATCTCATGTTTCATTTCATGGTATGCCCTGGACAGATGTGGAGCGAACCAAACCAACCTACCTACCTTAGTTGAGCGGTTCGTCCGGCCCCCTTCCAGAGTCACGTAACCCGCGAGGCAAGCCACGGGTAGGCGAGTAGCGATAAATGCGTAATGCCCGCTACACTCACTAGACGACGGATGAACCTGCAAGAGTAATCTCACCGTCTGCTGGCGGCTGCCCCGCGATGGCGTGAGTGCCCGAGGTTAGCAGTCTGTTCGTTTCTGGTTGGCTGCCGACTTGGTCGCACGAGGGTGCTAGGGGGAGGGTAATGAAGGAGGAAAAGAAGAACTGGCTGTGCCTGGTCGGGTCAAACGGTCTTTTCTACAGTCAACAGTGTTGAGAACAAGTCGTTCTTCGAGGCCAATAGCAGCCGGGACAGAGCACATCAAGCGCAGGGGCGCTCGACAACGGCAATACAGCAAAGAAGTGCAGATTGTGTGACGGGCGGGCGGCGCCTGCAGAGATCACGCGAGAAGAAAGGTGTATGGAAATCAATAGTCGAGTAAAATTCATTTGGTATCTTATGAGTAAAATCCTTCCAACGCCCCAAGCCGAAGATCCGTTTACCACAGGTCTGTGGTGTAGGCATGTAATTGTCAATGGTATAATATATAAACGCAACGCCGCTCCTTCCGTCCCCCAGGTCCAGGTCGTCAACTCACGACATGGATGTTTTCGCCGAACATGTCATTAGTGCGCCCACCGACAGGCTGATGGCTACTGGCTCTTGTCCCACACGTTGGCCCTGGCCCTAAAAGTCCCAGGCCCCGGCTTGCGTCTCCGACTGCCGATGTTCAGCAGTTCCTGGCCCTTGGCAGCAAATTGGCCAACCTCAAAGTGTTCGTGCCCGACAGTGATGAGCTTGAGAATGGTCCCAAAGCCAACGACAACAGAGGCCGTGCCGACCTTGACCATCGGTCCCAGCTCTGAGATCATGAGACAGCCGCCCAACTCGTCGTCAGAGTGCAGTGGCATCGTCTCGTAAACGTCGTGCCGGCCAGAGTGTGAAGCGACCCAAATTTCCCACTTGTCCAGCTTCAAGCCGGGCCTGTCGTCTTGTCGGAAGCTGTAGATACGCCGGCGCAGGCCCTGGGTCGTGGGCGACGAGTCAGGACTGTACCGGGCGGGAAGGGGCTGATCACGGCGTACGCCGACGATGAAGCCGCCTGACAGAGCCTCCCACGTGCCTGGGTTGTTGATACGCCTCTGTGACATTATCGTATCGGGCCACTTGCAACAGCTTCGACTGGCCGGGGCACTTGAGTCGCGGAAGCAAATGGTATCGCCGTCCTCCTTGGGTAAATAGGTCTGGATGACGCAATCACCGGTATTGCTATCGTTGTACGCAAGGCCGAACGAGATGAGCCCGACAGATCCACATTGTGGTTTCCTTCGAGCTGAGTGGAAAGCTCGTAGCGTCTGGGGTTGAATGGGACCTGTCTCGAATACGTGCAGAAGCCGATACGCCTTGCCGTCAACGAGATCAACCGAGTGCTGTCGTGCCACGAGGAAACAGTCCAGACCTGGAAGTGGTACGACCTGAGAAGCATCTCGGTCCTCGAGCGAGTGCATGTCGAGGCTCACGGAAGTCCAACATTGGTCTTGTTGGTTGGCCACATGTATGCAGCCCTTTTTAGAAGCTGTCAAAACAGAAAGAGGAGAGTCGCGATCAGACATGGCTTTTTAGAGTCAGTCAATCTTGTACTGAATCAAGTAACACCAAGACTTACATGATTGGGCGAGAGGCTTGACGGAGACCAAGGGGCTCCTACAGATAGCGAACTCGATCACCGTTCCAGTTGAGGTTGCAAGCTCCATCATGGTGCCGTTGCGGCGAACCACGAATAAGGAGGGTGAAGAATTGGTTGTGGCGGGACCGAAAAAGAAGGCTTGGAGTTTTTGGCCTTGAAGGTCGACGGGAAGCGAAGGGCCCCATCTCTTCTCTGTCAGATGCCAGAGGTGAGCTTTAGAAGGCGACAAAAGGGCCAACCAGCAACAATCATCATTGATAGCCATGGCCGAGACCGGGAAGAGGCGATCCGGGGGCTCGGAAACTTCGCCCAGCGCATACTGCCCCTGTCCAGCCCGAACATCCCAAACGCGGATGGAGCGGTCAAGCCCGACGGATACAATATGGCCGTCGACTGAAGCAGCCATCAGGACAACATCGAGGGTGTGCCCCTTTGACAAGGATGTAACTGACGTGAGCGGCTCAGTGTCGAAGTCATGTCCCGACTTGAACTCTGCATCCTCTTTCCACAAAAGATAGCTCATAAACAAGCGGACGGCTGCGAGGATGAGTATGACAGTCAAGACAAAGCGAACAAGGTGATGATCAATGAAGTCGTACAATGCCGGCAGAAAAGGTCGCTCAGGAAGTCGAGGTGTTCGGTCGGCACCTTTCAATACAAAAACGAGCGGGTCATACACCTGGGCGATATAGCTGTGCGCCCATGGTTTGATGACGCTGATGACCTCCCGAGCGGTTTCGTGATCTTGAAGACGAAGCCAGGAGGTTGGACTTCTAGCTTGATGTATATCCACCAACAAGGATTCTTTCTGTTGGGTCAGGCTCGACTTGGTGTCTGACAGGCGGAACAGGCCACCAAGCACGCGGAGGATTGTCTGGTTCTCGAAGAAATGCCACTGGGCAGCCAATACGAAGCCGACCATGATGATGGTGCCGGCGATGCGTGTAGACATGGCAATTTTCCCCTGCAGCAGAGCGTCGGTCCAGCTGGCACGTGCAGCAGATTCGCTCGGGCGTCGTGTGACCCTGGATGAGGCTTTGTCTAGCGCCTCGCTGAGCTCTGTACGCCTTACATCTACGCCAAGGACCGACAGAAAGAATGTTGACAAGTAGAAAAAGTCAAAGACGATGGCAACGGCGGCAAAAGTGCAAAAGGCAGAGACACCAGGCGAAACAACCCTGGAAAGCGCCCATAGAATCAACACATTTTGCAGAGAGCTCGCGAGGGCGATGGGAGCCGTGTCGCCAAAGGCGTGTCCGATGCGACTGCTAGTGCTGTGTTCTGAGGGTGTTGCAATAACGGCATTGATGAGTCTGAAGATATTTTCAAGACTCATGGATAGCACAACAACGGGATAGGCGGCCTGCGGGATTCTGGACAGGTCAATCTTGAAGACGGCGCAGACGGTGAAGCTCGACAAGATGGACAGCATGATCTGCGTCATGACAGTCACAATCAGACCAGTCTTTGACTTGACGGCCCTCAGCTTGGACATGCTCACGAAGAAATAGAGCATGGACAAGCCATAGGCCAAGGCCAGAACGATGGTGTCATGGATGGACATGGGTTGGAACTGAAACTCGTAAAGCTGATTCGACATGCTGCTGCCGTCGGCGGGGTAGGCTGTCCATTTGTCTGCCATCTGGGTCGCCAAAGCAGCGGCTTTTCGCTCCCACTGGCGACCAACGGGCGAATCGCGCAAGTGGATGAGGGTGATGACTAGTGCATCAGCGGCCAGCAACCTCCGGTCTTCGAAATGCTTGCCACTGAAAACGATGGAGTGCCGGAGAGTGGTGTTGACGGAGGTAGGCTGGCTCTTGCGCTCGTTGACGGTGGATATGATGTCCGCGTCTGAGCTGATGCGCTCGGGCGACCCGTACCAGTACTGCAGGGGTGAGTGGAAGAACCAGGACTGATTCGTCAATCCGTTGATGACATGGAAAGCGTCACGGTCATTGGGCGTCATGTCGAGGCTATGATCTCGCACTTCGATGGCAGGTTGGCCGGAGCGGCGGGGATCGAAGTTCTCTGTCGGGCCCAAAAGTTCATCCTGCAGTTGTAGGGCGCCTAGCAGGACTTCGCGGTCGAGGGCTTGCATGTAGCTCCCGTGGACCCAGACGGAGCGCATCACGACGTCTGGCTCGACGGTAGCTTTCTCGATGGGCTGGGCCAGCGTCCAGACATGGTGCGGGAGGTTGGAAGCGCCGTTTGTAAAATCGGTGGTATAGAGGAAAGGAAAGGGATATATCAGAACAGCGGCGACAGCGGTGGAGATGAGAAGTGTGGTGATGACGTGACGAGTCGCATAGGCGCCATACCGCGCGAAGGCTCGGCGTAGAGGATGAGAAGGTGTGAGGACGGGAGCTTCGGTCGTTCTGGAGATTGCCACTGGGGTCAGCATACGCCCTCGATCGACGTCCTCGATCGTGGAGAATAGTAGAGCAGATGGCAAGACATACCCTCGAAGGGGATAAAGGAGATACCAGATCATCTGCGGCGAGACTTGCGATGGCAAGCGAGCAGGTCCGTGGGTCAGTCGAGGGGTAGGCGTAGCCTTGTTATCATGTGTTGTCGTCCATGGGGTAGGACGTGAGGAGATGCGGTCTTCGGGTCTGAGAGAAAGAGCTGTGAGGTCAATCGGAAGCAGCTGTTCAGGCGTGGACCGAAGGAGGTCACGGGCTGATGACTCGAATGACGGGGGCTTCCATGGGGGACGGTCTTGTTGGTTCTCTTTGGCCTGTGAGCTTGTTGGAGCGGAGTCGAGATGGACGGGTTCGGGGGAAGGTGGCACTTGGTCGGCGGGCGGGAAGGTATTCGGCGGGCGGAGACCTGAGTAATGCAAAGACAGGTAGCGTGGGCGTAGTCTGAGACAGAGAGGACTTGTGGTGTCGAATGAGGGAGTTGCCAGCAGAATGACGACAGTGTGGCGGCCAAATGCAGACGGATATTGGCGACAGGATGGCGGCGTCAATCGACACTACACAAGACGTTGCGCGTTGCTTCCTGGGCTTGGATCCTGGACACAAACTCGACGAGTCGACGAGAACGTTTGGGGGATGATGTAGGGTGGTGGGCAATCGGCAGGTTCGTATCGTCCCAAAAGGGGATGAGGCATCAAGACATCGAAGCTAACCCAGTATGCCTACAGTAAGGCGAGGTTAGAGTCGAAAGAAGGGATGTGGATGTCGTGGTGGAACCTTGACTGGTTCTGAGAGGAACACAGCTCAAGGTGGTGTGGTGGCCTGTCCCAAGTGCCAGTCGAACGAGCGAGTGCAGGGCTCTCTCAGTGGTCGCATCCGTAGGATGATCGCCGAGGAGAGAGGGGGGCGCCTGGGTGGCGCGGGTGGTCTGGGCCGCCCACCTACCTCCTTTACCTTTCCCTAGACCGAGGGTCTAGAGTCGCCTGAACAGCGTCCCATCTTCGCTTGGCCCTGCTTTGGATCTGCTTAGATCTCCGCTGCCCTCTGCGCAGAACCTGCCAAGCGTCGATTGATCATCCGTCTGATGCATCTCTGGCAGCCCAATCTCGGAACGACTTGTGGAGGGGCCTGAAAACCTGGCAAGATTCCGGCCGGTAGGTAGCTCGGCATACACTTCTCCAGTCAGTGAAACATGTCGAGACAGTGTCCCATAAGTAGGTTGGGGCTGTGCCCCTGACCTCCCATCATTCCCTCTCCCACCCCCTCCCGAGTTGCCAGTCGCCAGGGCCACAATCGAGACTCGAAAGGGCTTCGAGGGGGTTGAACAACAGAAGATCGGGAGGGCTGTGCTTTGCAGCTTCCATTCGTTCGTCGTGAGAGGTGTGTCGATTCTCTCCTTCGCTGAAGGAC